AATGACACAGAAAGACGTGGAACTACTGCAGTCCATCTCTCACTGTAAAAGTCACTGCAAAAAGTGGAAAAAAGCTTAGATTGAATAAAAAAAAAAAAAAAAACGTGCATAAACTTTAATGCAGTTTTCAAGGCATGTGCAAGACAACCGGTTGTGTGTTGACTATAATTATTGAAAAAAAAAGCTGTCCATGGACAGCAGCGGGTTGGCAGAGGTGTTAAGCTGTGCAACAATCTGTTAAAAAAAAAAAAAAAATCAAAACCAAACTCTAGTCCCTTTTTCTGGCATCTCATTAAATTATTTTAAACAATAGGAATGTTATGATGAAAAAAAATTGAAGCCTGTTTAAAAACCTGGTTGAAAAGGGTAACCTTCCAATGTCTAATTGGGACACTGGGAAAACTGTGATGTTTTTTTTTTTGTTTTTTGTTTTTTTAATTTGCCAAAAAACATTTTAACATAGAAACAATTCTTTCATTATACAAGTTTTGACCCCTTTTGTATTATGAATCTTCACTGGAATTTATTGTTGCTTAATAATTTAGCAGTGATAGCAAATGCTTTTCAGAAATATGAAACTATGAGTTCATTTCTGTTCAGAAATATTGAGCTAAAAGAGGATAGTTTCCCTTCTGATCAACCTGAACAGTCTTAGGAGCTGTGGCACAGTTGCTTTAGCCCTTGAAATGAATGGCTGCATGTTTTACTGGAGTGGAGGTTGACCTTTAGTAAAATTGGCAGTAAAATAACAGCCCTTGGGCAGCTCCACAGACTCTGTAAGTCATTTGTAGTACCCATAATTTGGAGCTGCGGGGTATAATCAGCAACAGATGATTCGTTCTGGCCACCAGCATCTGAAAATAGATTTTGGTTCACAGTTGTTCACAAACGGGACTAAGCAAATATTTTTCCATGGTTTTATTTACCTTAAAGGTCTCCATACATGTCTGTAACAGGAGATAGACCGTAAAAAAAGCAGCTGAAAAAAACCACAGCATGTTGGATGACCAAGGTTGCATGGACTCAGCACAGTCTTAGCATTAATGCCTCTTAACTATGCTGTTTTTCTTTACTGAGAAGAGTGCCTTTGAGCAATCCACAATCTTTTGCATTTAGGTTTTCCAAGAGATCCTGCAACTCTTTTGTCTCCCTTCAACTTGTCTCTGTATACTTTCAGTGCCATCCATCCAAAGGCAGAAAGCGAGGCTTCTGCTGGAGTGTGGACAAATATGGGCAGCCTCTGCCAGGTCTTGATGGGAAGGAGCGAGAAGTCCAGCGCTACAACTCCGAGAGCCAATAGGAGGAAAGCAGGCTGGGGAGGGAGGGAGTTTCCGCATGAACAAAAAGAACTGTAAACAAATAGAGACACTAAGGATATTGGAGAACAGGTCAGGAGATGGCTAGACTGATATGTGGATGGTTGCTGTTTCTATCTGTTGCCTGTGGGACCCTTTTTCACTGAGACAGAACAAAGGGAGCGGTGAAAGTGTATCAGGAGGAAAGTCCTGGAATTTATGCTACAGACGATAAGCTCTTTTATTTTTTACTCCCACCTGGACAGCTCCTGGAAAAATTACATGCTTCAGAATTCATTTTGAATGCCTTAAACTGATTAGGAAACACACACATGCACACACACAGACTTGTCATGGATGGCAATTGGGTTAGTGCTTCATTTTACGCACAATTATATGGCATCGCATTTGTGTACATACATTTTGTTGTATAATCTTTATTTGTGTGCTTGTAATTTGTAACAGATATTTTGTATCGGACGAGATGACCATGAAATGTATATACGTATGAATTTGTTGTTCAGTCTAATCATGCAGTGCCTTACTATGAATGCCTGTTATTAGTTCTATTGTTTCTAGTGGAGCATGATGGAACTGTGCAGCTCAGACACTACAGTGCATTTAAAGGCATTTTATGCTGGATCTAAAGCCACAGAAAATTTTTTATCTTGTTATTTTTATGATTGATGAGCTGAATAAGCTGAATAGTTGGGAAGAAGACCTTTGCTGTCATCTTTGATTTTTCATAAAGCCAGAAATTTTGTTCTGTGCTCTTTTTGCTGAAGTATGTTTGTATGTACAGTCCAGCAATTGAAGTCTATTTTTACTTAATAAAGGCAGCAAAAACTAGGTCAAGTTCTTGTTTTTTTCTCATCATAAAATTAAACATTCAAAACTATTTAAACATGATGAAATGTTTTATTATATACATTTAGCAATATTATGTACATTAAGAAATGCAATATCAGCATAGCTGTACTTCATCAGTAACACTCAAACCAGTGTACTGTGTATGTTTTTTTTTTTTACATCAAACTCGTATACAGAAATGAATAAATACAACAGATTCAACCATTAATCATAGTCAAAGAACCTGCAGATGCAAGGAGAGGTAGACAAAATTTGCAGTGCATGCAAAAACATACAGCATCTTGGATAGTCCTCCATATTTGTGCTCAGCTAGAACAAATATAGAGTGGCACTTTAAGAATCCCCTTTGAATAAGTGAACATTCATTCAGGAAATGGTCAACAGCTTCAATGAATGGCCTATTGTGTTTTTTGCAAGTTAGAATTAATCAAACTTACTTTGGCGGAGTTGCAGACCTATTATTTTGAGTGATGGAGTTATTCAGTTGGCCAAAAACTTGCAAACATGTTTTTAAAAATACACTGATAAGTGAGATACATCAAAGAATAAATAATGTTATACATAATGTTCATAAAATACATGGCATTTTCACCTGACATGATTTTTTGTTCATTCGGCTAGTTTTACATATTTTCTTAAAGGTAACGTTATTCAACACAGTTGTATATGTTTATGTCAGTAAATTAATATCTTAGGCAGTAACTTCTTGTTGGCACTGGGCATCGGCGAGAAGGTCGCTGGATCCTGGCAGCTTCTTCCCGTTCCAAGAAGAAACACACCAGCAGCGAACAGGTGGTCCAACCAGAGATGACTCGCACTGAAACAGAAACCAAGCACCGGTCTCACTTCCCCAGTAAGCTAAAATAAATACCTTATGGGTGCTGGCAACAAAATCTGAAAACACAAACTTACCTGCTTGGGTTTGAAGTAGCCATGCTTGTCACAATTCGGGAGATAAAAGGTTGTAAACTTATCTCCTAATTGTTGCTGAGACCTGGCGATCATATCCAGTGCTGCGTGCAGATCAACATGACAGGGACCCTTAAAGAAAAAACAAAACAAAAAACATAAAGACCCTTCATCATTTTTTTAAAATTATCTCCGGACTTAGGACCTCCCTTGCGTTAATCATTTCTCCCTCAGTGAGACTGATGCATTGTCTCACCTGCTGCACCAGTTTGTTGCGGATGGCATTAACTCTGGCTTTCAAGCTCTCATGCATCTCGGCAGTGTCTTGGTGTTCAGAGGGGAGGTTAAGTCCTAACAGGTAGTGCGCAGAGTCATGTTCTTGGACTTCATCACCTGCTTCTAAAGGGATTGTGTGAGATGTATTACATCAGAAATTGTTTTTCTTTTAAAACTATGAAAAAAAAAAAAAAAAACAACTTACATTTCTTAGCAGACATTACAAAAAAACAACAAAAAAAAACAATTTGAAGCTTACCTTGTCCCTCGTCATCGGTGCACACTCCCTGTCCTCTGGTCAGGGCATGGAGTGGTCTGGCCTCACCCGGCCTAGGAGTGCAGCGGAGCCCCTCACCGCAGTGGGCTGTGTGAACACCACAGGAAGCATCCTTCTCCAGAGCACATGCCATGCAGCAACCACAGCCAGGCTCCCTAAGCACTTGCTTGCAGTCAGCAGAGACTGCAGGACAGTCGCTCAGCTTCTGCTGCGTACAAGGAGCACAGCGGATGGGCTCCGGACCCACCACTGGCGATGAACTTCCCAAAGCCATGAGAGCCAGAGCCACTGCCGCAACAAATGTCAGCTTCCCAGAAAATTCAAGCATTGCTTTTAGTTGTGGTTCTGAAAAAGTACACCAAAGAGCTCTAGCTTTTCTTCTTATGCGATTTCTGCGAAGCACTCATATTTGTATGGAGATGTGACCTTTTGAGAAGTTAATCATTGACCACATATATGAAACATTTTTGACACAGATAGCACAAACAGTGGGTGACCCTGCGTGACGTGCGCAGATCCATGCTTACAAGGTCTGCAGTAAATATTGACACTGGAACGTAAAGAGATTTTACTTAAAAAAACAACTCCTCTCAAGCTTTACTTTTACAGTTGATGTGCTGAAAGTATTTTTTGAGTACTATTGCTAAAAAAAAAATACTCAGTAAATAAATAACCTCCACATCCAAACTTTAAAGGGTTAGTCAGGAGGTTGAAATGATCCGTTTGTGGGACAACATGTTTATGGCTGCTATCTTTTGAAGTAATGCTGACCGATTGTCCAGTGACATTGTTTTGGCAGTGAAACTATTTTCCCCCCTTTAGGTTTACTGGTGAAGGTTCATCCCATCTCGTAAACAAATAACTAGGATCACGCCTCTCAGGGGTTGCATGAGCATGACAACATTGATTTGTCTGCTAGAAGCACAACATGTTTGTTGACAGAAAAAGGACCATAATTGGATGTTTTTCAAGGACGCATTTACCAAAAACAATCTGTGACAATTGACAGTTGTGTCAGCCTACAGTCATCTTTTGCTCTACACCAAATCTGTCCCCAAACATCTTTTTGTGCAAGACGTTTTTGAAAACTACCCTCTAATTTTAAAGATTTAATCATTTTGTAGCCACCCATCATTCTCAATTACTTTTCTGCATTACTACACCTGTTCTCTAGTCATCATTCTGTCTTGTACTAAATAGTTGTAACCTTTAAGTAACTTGTTTTGGCACACAGCTCTGAGATTTTAACAGAACAGATGTATTTATGCTGTGAAAATTACAAGTATAGTTATTCCAATGATTTATCAAATGACTTCTCAGAGCACTTAGATTTCACTCAGTGGAAACGTAATCATATGGATTTCATAGACTCGAAGGCCATACTTTTCAGATTCCATCTTTAAAACATTTAGACAGTCATGTATCATCTTCCTTCCCCCTTCATTCTTTGCATTATCACCACATAAAATAACCCGCCCCCCTCAAAAAAAAAAAAAAAAAATACAAGGAAGTTTGTTGATATTTTTCTTAAATAGAAATGGGTATAATTACCAAAAAAGCTTTTACCTAATCTAAGTGTTTGACCTTTACAAACCTGCAATTTACCCACTATTCCCTTTTAGACTTGGTCCAATTGTGGGTTTTTGAAAAGGTATTCCAATATTGTTTAGGTCTCTATAAGTCATCACAAGGTACTCCGTGTGTTCTGACCATTACGCATTTGTCCCAAAAAGAATACAACATAAATGAGGCACAGTAAATGTAGCAATTAAATCAGTATCTGTTGATACTTACAACATTTTAATAATTAATTGGCTGGCAAACTACAACACTAACAAGGTGCCTGATGGTGCCAAACAAAAATCAAACTTAAGAGCTTACATGTCACAAACTAAATTTACAGTCCAGCAGAAGCAATCCTAACAGGGAAACTTAGCTGAAAATTGTACTCTGCATTAAGCAGTCATATTTCTCACAAGTCAAATGTTACTCAACCACCAGTTGATGAGCTGTTGCCTCGTCAATGTCGACCATCAGGTTCACAAGCCACTGAGGAAAAGGCTCCTGCTTTAAATAAAATAAGATAGGAATGTCACAAGGAAAGATACTTTAAGCATCATAAAAATCTTGAGAAATAAATTCTAATACCTGCACCTCTTTGTATCTTAAAGTCTTTCTCTTCTTTGGCTGAGGTGATTTTGTACATTTTTGCCACATAGTTTTGGAGACCTTTAAAGAAAACATTGGAAAGATAAACAAATCTTTACAAATGAAAGACGTCAAAGGTCACAAATATAAAGAGCTTGGTTTATCTCGCCTTCAATCTCAGCCTCTTACTACTCAATCTCCTCTCATACCCAAACACTGGCAGAGGTGCAGCTTCTTCGCATAGATCAGCAGAATGAGTGCTTGCATCCAACACTGAAGAGGTTTCAGTTTCTTTCGTCTGTTCGTTGAATTGTATCTGAATCAAACTCTCCCATTTCCGAGAACCAGAACGCCTCCCTGGTCTCCGAACCATCAGTGGAACATCATCTTCTTCCCTTTCATTTTCTGCCAGGGCCTCCTCTGTCTCTACACCCACTTGAAATGGTAACTCATCTTTTTCCACCTCCTTTTCTTTTCTTCCCACAGTTTCGTCCTCCTGCTCTGACTCCTCTTGAATTGGCTCCAGGAATTGCACCTTTTCTATTTTCTGCATCATGTTATGCTAAAAACACAGAACAACAAGCAACCAGCTCTCTGAATGCTTGTTTTCTCTTCTGCACGAGAAGGCAAAACTTTTGTTTTGCAGTATCCCTGCAGCCAGTTGATCAATATGAGGATTGAAAGTTTCTTTTTGTTAGCTAATTATTGCAATCAGGTGTGGGTAGTTAACGAGACGGGAGATCTCTCCAACAAAGAAAAATCCAACAGAAGCAATTGTTGAAATATTCTAACAACTAAAGCAGGTCTCTGCCATGTAAAAACTACACGAATCCTCCAGCTTTCACAACAGTACATTTAAAAACTGTCACAAGTTTTGGTTTTATACAAATAAAATTAGTTTTCATTGTTTGCTTTTGAGACAATGTCACACGCTCTGCTTGACATACCTTGAATCACATATCCTCATTTTTGTCTTTTTGTTTTAATTTCAGCAAGGATTTCCACTGTGGTTCTATTATCAGAAGCTTCTGTTTTGAAGCAGAATAATTTTTTGAGTCTTCCAGCTGAGCAATGGACCGCTGCAGCTCTTCCAGAGTAACCGTAGGCCTTTGCATCTCTGGCTGAAGCTTGTCTTGTCACAAAAAAAAAAAACATGTATTAGTAAATTTGTGGTTGAGACATATACTTTCCATTTACAGTGCTTCAAAAGATATGGACATTGTGGGAAATTATTATTTATCAAAGGTAAAGCAGGGGGGTTGTCCCGTCAGATCATCAGTTTCTGAAACCACATGAAAAGTGCACACAGGGTCAGTGCCACACCGCCAGAACACACACAGAGTAAAAATCCTACATGGGTCTTGATGACCCCATCTCTGCCAGAAGGTTAAAAATAATTGATTCGATCCAATAATCCATTTTATGGGTTATTAAAAAAAACACACACATAGTTGTATTTATATTAATAATTAGTGTCAGTCATCCATAGTATGGTGTCAAAACCCAAACCCAGCCCTGTCGTGTTCTATCCTTCCAGGTCCGTTTCTGTCTGTAATTTATTGTAAGAAGGTAATTTAATTATTTTTGTCTTGAAGATTTTTTTTTTTTTTATTTTGTCTTAAAGTGTGATCACAATGGACTCATAAAACAACAAAAAATGCTGTGCCTTATTTATCCTATATTTAGCATGTGTTGTTCTTCATTTTGTTTCCTCCAAGTTATTCATAATTTGCTTTAACTGTTGTAATTTTTAGTGTTTCATGCTAAGACCTCTGCAGAGCGGTCTACAGGTCATTGACAACTGACCAGAATTAGTAAAATTCCTCTAAAGACCAATAACAACTCCCATGCTGTACTATCTGTCAAATATTGCACAAGATATGTGTTTGTTGACTTAACTGTTACACTGAGTGAACTCTACACAAACTCTGCATCAGTGCTGGGAAAACAATTTTTGGCTGCTGCCCAGAGTTCAAGACGTGATGATATTCATCTGGCTCCTAGCTTTCCAAGGTGCTCCCACAAAACATTTATTGTCTCGTGGATTCAGCTGCATAAGCCAACAACTGTTATTTTAAAACCAATTACGTGAAGAGAATAGAATGTGTAGCATAAAAATCTGTTGAGTGTGACTAACAAGGAAAGATCCACACACAAAGCTGTTTGTTCACTGCATGTCGTTTGGTTGTTTCAGGGAGAAAACTATTGAGTAACACAAACTGCACCTTAAAAAATAAAAAAGGTCCTCCTTTACACTGCTGGTCAAAACGTTTCCATTTTATACAATCAGACAGAAGTTAATTCATTTCTTAAAATTCACAAAGCACTTTCCTATTTTATGCACCAATATTGTCTTTATTACAAAATATTCAATAACTTTACACTGTACAAGATACAACATAGTTTACAGGTTTTGGCTATTTACAAAAAAAAAAGAAAAAAAGATTATGATCTGCATATCAAAGTGAATAAATCTAAAAAGGCAAGTTGCAATCACTGTAAGCTTATTGAGTAAGGCAAAAAACTTGAAACGTGATGTAATCACACTTTTCCATATCAAGTGAAGATGTCTATGCACTTAAAGATACAGGCTATAAAGATATCTGACATGCCTCATATTTATGAAACTGCATCTGAGAGATATGTGTTCAATGTTATTCTTAAACTCTAGCTTGATTATACTGAAAAGCAGTTGTACAATAATGTATAAGCCTGAAGAAAAAAACATTAGCAGCTATAGACACGGCACCGAAGTTTCTGCAGCCTCAAGAAAAATAAGGTAATGTACACAGACTAAGGATTTAAAACACTTAAAGGTCATGCATTTATAGAAGTGGTGTGCTTATTACCATGTAAGTGCTCCCTTCTGTATGGATGAATGCCATCCTTATCCCATTAGTCTACAGTGCCTTGTTAAAGTAGCTCTACCCCTTGGATTTTCACATTTTCTCATATAACAATCACAAACATCAATGTTCATTTTTTAGGAATTTCTAGACCATCGCAAAGTAGGGCATTACTGATAAGCATTAGAGGTTTGTTTGTGAGCATTAGTGGGCAAGCAGAAACCAACAAACAGTAGAAAAACCAGTAATAAAGTTGTGGGAAAATTTAAAGAAAGGCTAGATTTTAGAACAAATATTCCAAACTTTGAACATCTTCTCAGTCCATCTGCCAAAAATGGGAAAGAATACGATATAACAAAAGAGGCCAAGCTTCTGTCATCTATCTGAATTGAAAGATGTGCAAGAAGATTATTCAGAAGAAACAAAAAAGCCAAGCTGAGTCTTAATGGGCTGCAGAGATCCACAGCTTAGGTGGGAGATACTGTTGACAGAACAGCTTTTAGTGGTGAACTCCACAGATGTGTCTTAGAAGGAACGTAAAACTAGTATTGTTGCTGTGATTGATGCTATATAAATGAACTGAAATTATTTTTTTTACTCCACTTCAGAGCGATGCTCTACTTTTTGATTTGGTCTTTCACATAAAAATCTTATTTAAAATCCATTAAAGTATGTGGCTGTAATGTGACAAAATACGGAAATGTTCAAGTGGTATGAATAAATTTTCAAGGCACTGTACGTTCATGTGTGTTAATTGGTGTTCTGTGAAGTGATATTTTAGTGAAGCTTCTCATTTTGGCATGAACTGGTTTCTGTGGCAGCACACATTCAACATTCAACTAACCTTTAAAACCAAAAAAGACTTTGTGTAGTCTTTTTTACTCCTCCTAGCTCTTTTAGTGCATACCGACCGTGAAAACAGCCCCTATCAGTGTATGCTGTTTCCATACGTGATACTCTGAATCCAGGTGATATCAAGACAAGACACTTTTTAAATTGGTTAATAATGTTTGAAAGTAACAAGTGCAAGATCCCATCTCTGTCAATAAAACTTAATATCATTACTTTGGTTTTTCCTCTCGAGCAGAGTATCGTCACTTATGGCTCTTGACATTTTTTAAAAAATCATGCACTAAGATAAACTGCCATATTTCATAAAAAGCCAGCTTCATCCGGTGAAAGGTGAGTACAAAAAGGATTTTGTGCTGTTTTGTTACAATTTCAAACTGAACACACATGCATACACACACTTATAATTATAAACATGCATGCCTTCATACACCAAAGTATAAATAAACTTGTCTGTAAATAATGCAATATATCCTTGGCATAATCAGAAAGACAGTGCAAAAGCAAATGCATGATCAGTCTTTTTCTGGGTATCAATTCACATTCCTTGTACATGGGAATATGTACTTCATATAAAACAAGTTTGCACACATTACCTGGATATACCTGCACAGGAACCCGAGAACACCACAAATCTAATCATCTGGTATAGCGATGTTCATAGAAAGTTGAGCAGTTGGGTGCATCTTTCTTCCCTTCCCATCTCAACTCTGAATAGAGGCAATCAGTTAAGCAAATCTCTGAAAGCAAGTTTGATTGTCAGTTTTAGAATACTTCAGCACGTTATCTTGACCGAAAACATCTTGGGTTATGTCAGGATCCTCGGATGTATGAGAAATCCGTGGACAGCCCTGATTTCTCCAGGTTTTCCTGCTGCATTTGAAACTGTCCTGTTGTTCCTCCTACACTGCTACATCCGCAATGGCTGCCACAGCCTCGATTTGAATCTCTGTCACCTCTACATTGTCTTCATCTTCCATTTCACCTAGCACGCAGGGTGAGGGGAGGCATGTTGCTTGGCTGTTGCTAATGTTGCCACCCATGCTGGCTTGAGCAGCCAGGCTGGCAGCGGAGGAGACGCTGCCCAGATGGGTCGGCACGCTTGTCTTGCCACAGGAATGGATGCGGCGTGCCAGGCTGGTGGAACGCATCACCGATGAAGTGATTGCAGTGCCAATGCCCTGCACTTTACCTTCAAGAAAGTATGTCAGCATCTCACCTTTACCTTTTACACTGACTTTACCACGGCAGACTAAATCATAGTTGCTATTCAGCATACGATATACCTCCTCGGTCACCTGGAAAACAAAAACATTGAGCTTTACAATTATTTTTTTTTTTTTTTAAATACACACTCATTAAAAATTAATGCTCAACTTAAATTTGATTTTGGTTCAGGCCTATTAAACTATTTGTGTTTTATCTACCTGAATTTTTCCTGGTACACCCGTGCTGTCCATCCGACTGGCCACGTTCACTGTATTACCCCAGATGTCATACTGTGGTCGCCGTGCTCCAATCACCCCAGCAACTACTGGCCCAACATTGATACCTGTCCAAATGAACAACAGAATTTATACCAAATTACTTTAGTATTCCTACTCACATTCAGAGTCGTTTTGCAGGTCCACTTACCCACTCTGAGGACAAATTCATTGTACGATTGGTAGTTGATTTCATCCAACACGTCAAACATTTCTATGGCGTAATCTGCGATTGTGCTCAAATGGTCATAAACCGATTTTTTGGCCTATAGAACAGACAAATAGTAAGGCTCTGCATACAAATATGTCTCCAATATTAAGGTGAGGTTGTATAAAGTTATTAACAGAATCCACAAATCCATTCCTTGTGGTAGAAAGATGCCATATGTTTATGGAATGTAATTATAAAATAAGGCAGACTCTTCTTTTCATTCATTTTACCATTAATATCAGCTCCAACTGAAAGTCTTGATGTTTGTCAGGCAAAATGCTATATTCCTGTGCATTAAGTATACAATCCAAAATACCTCTGAGTTACTAAGATAAATTAATATTTGCATTTCATCAGCTGTGACAATCTGCCCTGAATTTGCCGAGAGCAGATTAAACCTTGGATTTTGCGCCATGCTATTATTTGTGCAACATCAAAATTGGTACATCCTTGTACTTATCCAGATCTTGAAATTGTCCTCCTAGATAAGAATATGGTCTACATCCTTTGCCAATATAATTTTGTGTCGTAACACAAATGGTGTTTAGATGGAAAACTGGTTTCAAACAGCAACAATGGCCTAATCTGGAAGTGTAGTTAGTTAATATTACCCCAAACTTGATTAGGTCTGAGTCTTTCATAATTTTTCTACCAATTTGACCTCCTTCCAAAACAAGTAAGGGAAATAATACTTCTAATACAGACATTTTCTATTAAAAGCCCAAACAAACTCTCGAACATTTAGAAAAAAATCCCAAAGAAAGATAGAAAAACAGCCACCTTGGTGCCAATGGTGGGGACAAGCCCAACAGCTGCCATGTATGTACTGCCAATAGTTTTGATTTTCTCGATGTCTTTATAGCACTCCTTGTCCATAAGCTGCAAAATGCACATTTAGGCAGTAAATATTAGAATGAAAATCACACTCAAGCAACAAAAAGTCAAGTAACTCATAAAATGATAAACATACCTCATCAAAGTCAGCAATGATTTCATTTAGCAGCCTCAGGCACTCCACTCCCATGTTGTTGCCATCCAGTTCAATGTAGAAATCATTAAAGTTTGGAATTGAGGCGAACAGGACACCAACTTGGGCGTAGGACTGGTAGTACAGGTCCTAATAAGAAACACAGAACCCCGTAAAAGAAAAAAAAATAGATGTCCCTTTGTGTCTTTATTATTTGTCTTGTTTCCTCTATTTTCATCTACCTGTTGGTCAGTCTGCCTGCATGGCTGTTTATTAGCATGGCTCACCATGTTTCTGGGGTTTGACATTAAGAAGTGTTGAGCCACATGGGCAGGCAGTAGATTGAAGAGAATCCTCCTGTTGTCCAGCTTTACTTTCTCCATCCCATCTCGTTCCTCCTCCGCCTGGCAGCACGCAAAAAAGAAACGAGCAGAGAATGAATGCCTGATTCTTTTTCACATTTTTACCACATGGGGTCAGTAAAAAACCTTCTCATAAAAACCCCCAATTCAAAATTACATAGCAGCTATTAAAAAGGTCAAAAACAGTTTAAGTTTTAGATTTAATAGTTAGAACTTTAATGACACAGTGTGCAAATATGAGAGTAAGTGATTCCAAGTGAAACAAGGCCAATAAAATGTTCTTACTCTTGTTTTTGCCAAAAAAAAAAAAAGAAAACACAACTGGTTCCTGCCAGAAGCACTGAACCCCCTCATTTTACCTAATATAAAAAATCTGAAATGACAAAAATATGGCACTTGTACTTAGGCTTTGATTAAAATTCACAAATGTATGCCTCAAAACATGCACAGTCCGTTACACTTTGCACATCACTACACTCTTCCAAACCTGTACAGCCCAAAGGAAGTCCAAGCGCAGCTTGAGGTCAAGTTGTCTGGAGTGGAGGGCCAGGGCACTGACAAAGAGCAACAGAGACAGGATGGGCTCATAACCCCGGATGTGGAAAGACCCCCCACTGTGGAAGAGACCAACACAGAAGTTAGCAATAGACCAGACCACAAAAAAAACAACACAGGAGGGTTGACTGGACCCACCACAGCGCTAAGAGAGAGAGATCATAAGTCCAGATTAATTTGATTTACTTATAAAATGTCTCAAAATGAATTGTCATGCAGATAACATATTTGGTTGTAATTGCACATCAACAATATAAACTGCATAAAAATAAAACTCATTCGAAACTTGAGCCAGAATTTTCCAAAGCAAATTTCTGATCTAAGCTCCAATAATACTGTCCAAGCCCCTCCACTCTGAACTAATGTGGTCCCATCATCCAACCCACATTGTCCTTTCAGACTTCTGATTTGGAACTAATAAGCATGTGTGCTGCTTCAAAGGGAGGAAAATGAAAGAGTGTGTGGGCTGAAGACAAGCAACAACTCCTCTACACACATACATCACAGCACACATACTGTAAATGCTCCTGCAAATCTTGTTTATCTGTGAACTTCCTGTATTGAGCAAACAAAGAATAACACTTAGCATGGAATGACCCACACAACTCAGAACATCATTTCCTTTTTAAGCTGCACATGAATTGTTGTAAGGATGCCCACAAATCTTTTTTTTTTTTTTTGCCTCCCTCAAATTTATGTCAAGACTCCAGTGGTTTGCTGCAAATTAAGACGTATTTCTTTAATGACTGATATAAATATATTCAAACAAATATATGCTATCCATTTTGCATTAATAAGAATTTAAATTGTACTGTCACTTAGGCATAATGAAACACAGACGTATTTAAAAATTGTGTGTGTTTAATGTACGACATGTTTTGAACCTCACCCCGCAGTCTTGCGAAAGCCACTGAGCTCCAGCACAGTGATGTACAGCACTCCCAAAAGGAGCATCAACGCCATCTTTGGCAACCAGGATACTCGCAGGAAAAGCGCTAATGTGAGGGTGCCCACTACACAGGAAAGAAAAGCATAGCGGGCCCCATCACAGGGCAGCTCGGCCATGGTCCGGTTGGCTCCCCTGTCCACATCAATGATGATGATGGAACTGTTTGTATTGGCACTTCCCCACATCCAGGGCATACAACCCACCTATGAATAGAGACGAAGAATACATAAATATACACAACATGTGAGTTATACTTGAGAACATTATTCTAAACTGCAAATGCTATCAATACTGTCTGCACTTTGCATAAGAAATATCAAATGAAAAGCAACATAAATGTAAGAATACAAGGAGTTTCACTTTTAAAGACAGATAAATGTGGCTTCAGCAAGAAGAATGCATTGATTTCTTCTTGCTGAAGAAAGCAATGCATTTCTTGAAATGCATTGCTTATATTTCTTATATTTAAATATATAAACTTATATTTCTCTAAAACCTAGAAAAGAAAAAAAAACTGAAATCTAATGTCACATTTTGAATATTCCTTTTGGGACTTACAACACAAGCCTGGGCCACAGCGTAAATTAAAAGCACTATAAGAAGACAGAGAGCAGTTCGAATCTGAATGGTCAGGCACCCCGGAAAACACTGAATGTAAGAAAAAAAAGGCAAAGACATTAAATCATCACCGGAGACAAGCATGCTTATATTTTATACACTGCTATTAATGTTCATCAAGAAAAAAAAAACTAAGATGATAGGGCATATTATAGAATTGAACAGTTAGAAATCATTAAAAAAAGAACTTAAAAGTAATAATTAACAGCACAAGAGTGATTCAATTAAAGCTGCAAGGGTTTAGTGCATGTCTGTATTTACTTTGCACAGCTAGAGATAGTTTAGAAAAGCATGTTTAATTAAAAATCCACAGGTATAATAATGTAATATAATAAAACATATATGCAAAGCACAGTAAATACATAAATAATATTTAACATGACAACTTTGTAAATTCCTGATAACAGAAGACAATTAGTATATTAGAAAAAAGTGTGCAAACCAAATTTAAACAACCTATATAAAAAGCTAAAACAGGATCTGTGTTTACCTGTACTCTCGTGATATGCAGGTACATAATACAAGCTACAAGGAAACAGATGCAGAAGACGAGAAGGACAAGTACAACTGTGCCCCTGATTTCAATGAAAAACAAACAAAAAAAACACAGATAAGCAAAATAAGTTAATGATGCTTAGATAATTTAAAAAGTTTAATGAGAAGAACAAATACTATCTGATGAACATACTGTGGTATGATGAGAAGATAGACAATTCCAAACAAGGCCGCTAGGATCAGAGATAGAACCACTGCGCTGGTGAAGTACTCATCAGGAACCTGGTGGTACTGATGTAAAAGACCAAACAGGTTTAAATGACTGAAGTTAGGAAAAAACAATAAAACATTTTCGTGACGTAGGCATAAATGCTGTTGATGATTCACAAAGTTTTTTTGAATTTATGTTTCTGTTTAATTAAATTAATTAATTTCATTTCAGATGAAAGCTCTTTAGGACTCAACTTATTAGAGTAAAAACACATAATTATTTTCTCATGAAATAGTTTAATCTTCATTTTTCCTATAGTAAACCCACCTGTTAATAGATTCTACAAAAGCAACCAGAATACAGTTTTAATTAAAGGGAGCTGAGGTATGTCTAAACATTAAGGTTTGTTTTTTCAATTAGGTTACATGTATTTTTTCATACTATCAAAATGTTTTCTCTTAGAAATATGAGAATAACTCAAATTTAAGTTGCCCAAAGAAAAAGCTATTTTCAGAACTTTCAAATTCCCTGGAGAACTAAGATTATGACAAAAAAAAAAAGATCTTTACTGGAAACAATATAGCAAGACATAAATGGAGGCTCTAGGCTCTACTCAGTCTAGGTAGTATGCTGAATGGCTCACCCTCTGCTCCCGCTCAGAGCACTTATACATGAGTGTGAGAAAGTTGAGGTCTGCTGTGTCGGACTCCGTTTGGCGGGCCTCGATCAGCCGGCCAATGTAGCGGTTGACTCTGGTTCTAGGACTGCTCTGGATCAAGTTAGCCTGGTTAGCATTGGTGCGGTTCCTCAGCTTTTGTGGAGCTGTTCGCATGGCCCTCCGCTGGAATAAAGCAAAAAATAAATAAATCACCTAACAAATACACTGCTGCGCTGTTTATTCTACCCACCACTTCATTATTATCATATTAAAAACAAAGATAAATAAGAGTCAAGAGTAAATAAGAGAAGCTGATTATACTTTCAAATGAGAACATTGACACTTAAGTTTATAATTAAAAGCATCACATTGCGTCTGTGTCTTCAGGAGCCAGATCATTTTTGAGAGTATTGGGCAATGAACCTAAGTCAAAGACTAATGTGTCTGTTGTGCTACAGTAGGTTTGTCAGAATGTAAATATGTATGCTTTCTGATCAGAATATACTAATTGGGGTTTTAAACTACACATTTTTATTCCAATCAGTTGTTTATTTCAATGATTTATGTCCATTTAAAAGTACCTTGTTGGTGGTAACAAACATTTTAGCCACATATTCCCTGTGGCAGACTGACAAAAGTGAGGCTGCTGTCTCTTGTTCATGTGTAAAAATGCCAGACCAGATCTAGCAATGAGCAAATTAAACGGCTAATTCTTTTCAAATGCATCACACAATAAACTTTCATGCTACATAAAAAATATTGTGAAGAATTCGCCAATAAGTCAACCCAAAGCAGTTTTGTTACCTTATCGCCATCCTCACAGTTCATGACGTTGGAGAACGGAATCTCAGCCTTGAACATCTTCCTGCAGTGCATGAGTTGCACCAGTAAGTAGCAAACGGTTTTGAACTTCATCTTTTTGGCAGGCTTTATATCCGAAAGAATCAATCCTGGAAATATCTGTCACCAGAATGAGAACAAGGATTAGATCACAAAACCCTCAAGTAAAATCTTGACTATGTGCAAGTCTATGACTGGAACTCATAGACAAGCACAAAGCATACAGACACACATGCAATCTTTATCACAGAGTTTAGAAGTGGTTAAACTGAGGCAGTCTAATCCCATAGGACCTCATTTTAATTTTAGGACAACTGACCTCAAACCTATTTTAGAAAATGTGAAAAAGATTAAGTGTACATTAAAGGGTTTGAGGAAGCGCTACTGGGATTTGCCACATAATCTATTTGCTTTGTTTGAGATCCGTCCCTGCAGTAGCGGTAGTCTATCGAACACCACAGTTTGAGCATATCTTTGCCTGAGCCCTTACTTTTATGAAGCTAAGCTATTAGCTACATTAGTCAGATTAGTTAAGTCTCTTATATTGCAAAGAGAGGAGAAAATACTGGGATATCAAGAAAGTGGAATGATACATTGCAGCCAAAAAAAGGGGAGAGTTGAACAGAAAATTTAAATTCCCTGCTTGTGGCACATCTGCTGGAGTTATGTGTATTTCTCTTTAAAGTTTGTCCAAGTGTGCAAATTTGAGAAGATGGATGACACTGGCTGTGTTTCTTTTTTTTTATATAATCTAGCAAAATGCGTTACATGGATCAAAACTAACACATCTACTGAGAAAATCCTAGTTCAAGTTGAAAAGTATATTAGTTTGTAGAGCTTGGCACAACAATGGTGACAGCTAAAGTTCCACTGAGGTCTGACATAGTGTGCATGCTTTTCTAAGCTATATTGCAGTTTAATGTTTGTAACTAAAAACAAAGTCATATTAAAACAAAACATGCATTGTACAATAATAATCAGTCATTCCAAATGGAAAATACCTTCCGTCGGTGAGATGGCACAATAAAGAAAGTTTCTATTTCATGCTTCTGGAGAAAGGCGTTCCTTTCATGGCCATTTCCAGGCTCTACCTCATAGTCTCCATTTAGGCACTCAAGTGTTGATCTGGTGATGTGAACTTTTCTGCAATGCAAACAAGGCAAGTTTAACACAAATGAGGCAAATCTGAAAAAAAAAAAATTTAACTCAACACCAGAGAGAAATTATTCAAATCTATCCATTTATCACAGATAGATGGATAGATGAATAGATGAATAGGTCAGGTAGTGGGGGCAGCAGCCAACGCTGAGAGACCAAGATTTCCCTCTCCTCATCCACCAACATTGTCCCTTCAGTATGTCCCGGGTCTTCCTCTGGGTCTCCCTCCAGTGGGATGTGCCCAGAAGAGGCATCCGGGAGGCAGCCCAACAGATGCCTCAGCCATCTCAACTACGCTCGTGCATGGGAGTGTTACTGTTTTCCTCTTCATACAATAAATTCTGCAGAGTTAAATTAACTCGATGTCGAGTTTACTTGGTCCTTGTCAGAATTGGCATTAATTTAACTCTTACAGAGTTATTTCAACAATAGTTTAAGTAGTTATAACTATTTCAAGTGTTAAAATTACTCAATTTCTTGTTGAAATAATAGTTAAATTAACACCAGTTCTGATAAGGACCAAATAGGCTCGGCGTAGCATATATTCACTAAATGCTGTTTTCTGCATCAAAGTAAAACAAAGCAATGCCACTAACTTAGCAATTCAGACTCTGACTAAAATTTTTAAGGCCTCGACATATAAACACTTGTCAATATTTTTATTTATAGTTGTACTAACCCTGGTAGTCCTCCAGCTTCCATCACATTGGCCAGCGTCACATCATTTGACCAGACGTCATACTGCCATTTCCTTAGCCCAAGCACTCCGCACAGCACTCGGCCAGTGTGCAGACCCACACGCATGTTAAGGTTGACTTCTGTTGCCTCTGCAACTGACCTGCAGGACCATGCATAAAATGATTTGGGTGAAAATGATATGGAAGAGTATATATGGTAGTGTAAATATAAAGTATATATAGGAACTACATACAGTAAAAGTACAAGACAATGAAGTTTTAAAAAGTTTTAATGATGTATTGCGCTGTTTCACAACTGCTTTGTTTGGAAAATGGAAATGGAAGAGCTAGACCCTTCTCCATAATTTAAAACTTGAACAAACACATAGTAATTATTTGAAAACAACACTTTTGTCGTCATCTTTTATCCATGAGACAGCTTGAAAATAGGTCTATTCATCATATCTGATGTCTCTTATGATGAAAAATAAATGGCCGGTAAGTGATGATTCCTTTGATAAGTAGGCTACGTGAAACAGCTACTTTTCTTTCTTTTTTCCAAAATATATTGTAAGTTCTTGCGTAAAGATGCATCTGCAGACCCACAAGGCAGTCTTCTAGCTCATTATTGCAGGATGTGTATATTAATATTTGAGCTATGTATTCAACAATTGCTGTTTTAATTAATAGTCTCCATCTTGCACAAGAAATTTTATGAGCACATGCTTCACCATTTAAAAGCAATGTATAAAATCTTCACTTACTATAAAGTGAGCACAACCTAACAGTGATCAATGTTATATAAAAATATACTACCACCACTCAAAGAGGCTAAAGAAAATAACTATCATTATTTGGTCACAGAAACCAAATGGAAATCTCAAACATAACATACCTTAGACATATTTTTCCAGTTGGTGGAAAAATATGTCTAAATGTTTCTAGCAGATTGTGAATACGGCACATTTAACTTTGTCTCAATGTTTATCGTTCATTTGGGCCCTAATATCTCCCAAACTAGTTGATGACAAAAGTAGCATTGTGTATGGCCTTCCCCTAAAAAGGTGTTTCCCTTAAGAATAACAGCAATTCAGAGTTTGAAATGTACATTCAACAATAAAACACAGCTTATATTGTTCTTCCCATTCCTAGTGCTTAAACAGATTAAATGAGACAGTATCTAAGAAAAACTCACGTTATAGTGTCGATCATGTCCAAACCCATTTCAACACAGCAGTGAGCATGGTCAGTCTTGGGTTGAGTCAGCCCTGACACACAGTAGTAACAATCCCCCAGTATCTTAATCCTGCGACAGTGGTTCTCCTATTAATTAAAAAGAGAGATTGAACAAGTTGACAAGTTGTTATCCGATAATGAACAAGGTTCAGAGACATATTGGTTTTAGGCATTTCTTTTTGTCAGTCTCAGGTCAACATCCTCTTACCTTAGGAAAGGCACAGCTTGACAGTTACATTGTCAAGCTGATAATAATGAAAGCATTTTGAATGCATATGAATAAAGAATGCATTTTGTAACAGACCAATGCAAAAATATCCCATAGCTGTGAAGCAGAGGGTAAATGAAACATGTTTTTCAAAAGTATTTTGAGAAAACAAATTACTCTAAAATAAATTCCACTGCAAACATGTTCTTTCAGAAGTCACCTTATTATTATGTAGACTTCTCTTGTCATTCTCAATATGAATACAAAAGCTGGGTGAAGGTTAACAAAGGCATGTTAGAGACCATGATTCTGTTTGTCCAAACAGATCAGGAATAAAGTTGTGTAAAAGTTTAAAGCGGAATCAGCCTGAGAACAATACTGCAAACTTTGAAATATTTATTCATTAAAAAAAGTTTGACACAAAGTTTGTAGCCCAACGCATTCTGCTTTGTTTTGTATGAAAGGATCTTCTCTTGGGAGAACTTCCCCATCACTTAAAAATGGTTGAACTGCACAGATTACAGTTTACATATACATCGTTGTTTAGCAGCTTCTCTTGGGCTGACATGTCCATTTCCTAATCTATTACCTAATAAACACTTTTAAACGTTTAAATTGCACTGGCACTAACAGCTCCCACGATGCGATGGATCTGTCTCACTTTAGGGAATAAGGTGAGTCACTCACTCTTTGGAACAATAAGCAGCAGTGTGGAAAGATGGCTTACAAATATAGCCTTTCATTAGAGGATATTAACAACAGACATTCATTTTACCAGGGAGACCAGGTTACCGTGGGCGCCTCCTCATAACCCTTCATTGTTTCCATTAAGGTAATGGGATTGCTGCCCATGCATGTGTAGAGCACAAAGACTCATAATTATGCACACTGGTGGGTACGAGACAGGATGGACACTCTATTTTTAACACGGAAACCATGAGAGTTTCAGTAGAGCTGAAGAGTTAGAGGTTGTTCCATGTCTCAGAAGATGTACCTGCTGTGAAAAGGAGGAAGCATTTATTCTTAGACACTAACCTACAAAACCTGAATGTACATCATGGAAAATTCTCTGGCTGCCCATGTTGTAAGACAAATAATTACTGCTAAATTCAAGTTAAGTTCTTGCAAAGAATGACATTCTAAATTAGCTGAAGACATATAAAGACTGATCTTCAAAGACCAGTCTTTGGTAGATGATAAAATCAATCCATTTTGTTCTCATCCTCATGTTGGCCATTGTCACATTGTCACAACCCCTCTGGTGAACGATTTTGCCACAATCTGCATGTGAAACAATAGTGATTGGTCCGAACTTTGTGGGTGTGTCGGTTCATGTGGAAAAACGGGTACTATCTGGTTGCACAGAGAGAGGCAATGGAGCAAAGCTATCCAGAGATAGCAGCTGATCCCTGGTGTAAACAACAGGAGCTTGGCCATTATGTCCAAACAAAACAGCATAAAACAAGAAAAATAACAATGCAGTCCAGAGGAAATTCTGCTCCACTGTGAACAAAAGAGTAGGGTTCACAATACAACATAACAAATGTAAAAATAGACTAAAAACATAAGGAAAACTCAGGAATTAGCTGAGAGCAACTGAAACAGGCTGCGAGCTTGTGTGGCCATGGGGTGAAGAAGCTAACAGCTGAAATTCAATTTTCATCTCAACTTTTGTTAAAACTTTAATATCACAACAGTTTGAGACCACACAAAGCAACAGAGCATACAATTTCTTTGTTGCATTTGTTTTCTTATCTTGTTTTTAATTTGTACATGTTTTCAACTTGTCCTTTACCTCTTTTTAGATAATTAGGGCTTTCTTTGAAAGTGTTTTATAAAAGTTATTACTATTAAAATCAAGATTGTTATCATTATTGCTCTGTTTATATACAGAGCTTTATTTTAAATTAGCTTCTGCCATATGGTTACCTATCTATTCTTATTGAACCAACTGCAAGAATCTAGTGACGAAACAATTTGATAATTTTAATTAATATTTTTTTCTTTTTAAATATTTTAGCTCTTTAACAACAAATTTCAAGTATGCTTGTGTTTTTGTTGTTATTAGAGAGCAGGCTTTCTCCCCTTGGGGTAACTTGGGGTTGGGGTTGTGCAGAAACAGATGGTGTGTTGGTGAAGCATGGCGACGCTACAGGAAGCAGGGAAAGCCCTTGTACTTAAAGAGTCTCCTACACTGTACTTTTCCTTTTGCTAATCTACTGTGTGAGGCTTTAGAAGCTGATTCAGACTCAAGCAGGATTACCACCATCATGTGACTGCAGCACTGTGAGCAGTCTGGGTGGTCATAGACATAAGCAGATAGAAAAAAAAGCTTTAGAGTGTAACCCTTACTCACAGTTTCATTTGAAAAGTAAAATCTAAAAAGCATCCTGTATGTTAGAATTATCTTTCATGAATTGGTGCTACCATAATAATATTTTGGGAAACAATGTGGAGAACATTTGACATGAGGCAGTTATCATTCATTTGGACATTATATTTTGGTGAATATCTTTTAAAGGTTGATTCAGACCAGCAAGTCCCTGTCTTTGTTTTTCCACAGTCCTGCTTGAGTCATTCATTAGAGCAACGTTACCAACTTTCAACAATATGAATAATTGTTTATAGTTAGTTTTTCACCTTTATCTTTAATGATGTTTAAACAATGTTAGGTTGTTTTACTTTTTTCTGTCTTTTCAACAAAATTTTAATCTTGCCTCACTGTTAAGAAGGTGGGTGAAGTCTGGCAACCAGAGCAGATATCCTGACTAACATTTGGATATTATTCTGCAATCTAACTAGAATACAGAATAACAATCTAGTTAGTATCAGATTGTTATCCTTGTGTTGCCCTACTCAAGGTACAGTATATACTCATATTGCTCCACAGGAGCAGAACGGCAAACAATGGTATAAGAACTTGGAATTATGCTTAATGGTAAATTGCCTTTACTTATATAGCGCTTAATCTAGGCTGGAGGACCTCAAAGCGCTCCCCACTACATTCAGTCATTCATGCACACATTCACACCACTGATGGTAGCAAGCTACACCGTAGCCACCAGAAAGGCTGACATACAATCGGTGCCACCAGAGCCTCTGACCACCAGCAGGTGATGCAGGAGAAGTGTCTTGTCCAAGAACACAACAACTGAGGCTGTTCAATCCGGCAAATGCATGTATGTATCAACTAGTAATAGACATTGCTGTTATTGCCATAGCAATACTGGGACTAACTGTTTTTTTTTTTCCTATTGTAGATAACAGAAATTTGGTAGCGTTGCACATTTTTGTTTTCGTGGCGATGCTGTGAATCAGCGATAAATATTTAAGGTTATCCAAGGTTATAGACTCTCATACTGGCCCATGTCTTGTGCACACATAAAAATAGAAAGGGACAAACAAGGCAAATACCAAGGCATTAATGCAGGGAGGAAGAACATTCAATAAATGATAATGAAGAAAAATATGAGCCAGCTGAGGATAGCAGTTCATTTCCTCTAAGTTCCCAAAGGGAAGAGTGGAACACATTGTGCTTTGCTTTTGATACAGCAGCACAGATGACTGCTGTGCTGATAGTGCTGAAGGTAAGGGTTTCCTCTGCAACAACTTGAAAGAAATGCTTGCTATCGGTCTGCAAATTTATGCAGTGTTTAATGACAGCAAGATACACGGCTATTTCAAATAAATAATTGCATTTCCTTTTTTTTAAGCAATTTGGCTACTTGCATTTTTTAACTCAAACCGGCTTCTTTCTTGTGTTTCATGTTAACATTATTTAATAATTCATAGAAAGTTTTTTGGTTTTGCAATAATGAAAGTTAGGGATGTAGAGTATTAAGGATTTGTAACAGAAGACAGATACATTTTCTTATAATCTTCCTCCATCTCCAGTAAAAATTGCTCTTCACCGGTTTTCACCAGCTATTTTATAGCAAATGAAAAATCTATCAACACTTCCTTCTCTCACTCCACTGTAGCGGGTTGGAGCGAGTGGGTGAGCTATGTGAAGGAAACCTTGATGTATTAACAGATATGGCAAATAACAAATTCTTAGTGTGCCAAAACTGCTTCATTTCTAAGGATGGCATTGGCTTTTTGGACAGCTGATATGATTCATTAAAAAAAGAAGCAAAAAAACACAGTTTTCTTGGACTGACGTATAGAAAATGGTGGTATATTTTTGAGAAGTTGGTAATATATTCGTGGACACTATTTATTTTTATTTTTTTTCATATGAATTTGCCAATAATAATTCAGTTTGGAAGAAAAAGTTGTTTTGCAAATGAATTGGGACGCTGGACAAAAATATATTTCACAACAGATTGAGATTGCAAATCATTTGAGCAATAGGAAAAGATTAAAGGATGAGGGAAGGGAATAATTTTACTTTCTTTTTATTTACTTTATGTAGAAATAAAACCAGAACTATACATACACAGTGTAAAAAGACAGTCTTTGTTCTTACTGTCTGAAATTCAATCAGTCCAAATGTTTTCTCCACCTCTTTTTACATCAGTGGGGATTTCCAAAATAACCCAAATATCAGGATAACAAGAAAATGGAGGGCCTCCATAAGTCTCATTTGTGCTTCGGCACAATTGCATAAAACCAAAGGTGCTAAAACGCTATCCTTAAAAAGTAAAAAAAAAAAAAAAAAAGAATGAAAGAAAACAAACGATAATATCCTGTCATTATGCTGTTCAAGATGGAGATGGGTTCCATATCTATAAGTCAAGTGTGTTTTAGTGCAAAATATGCTTGTCAACATGCAGGACAAAGCAAAATATCTTGTAAATATACTGGCTGAATGTCATTTTGCACAGTGAAACAAGTGTACCAATTCATAAAGGTAATCCCAAATTACCGAAAACAGAAT